TGGGATCATCTAACAAGGATATATCGGAGATATCTGCACCCTATTATTGCCAATGTCGGCGGCAACATACCATAGCATAGCAGATTCACACATTCTGGTGCAAAATGTGCAACGATTTATCATGACCTCTATTTCTACGAAAGGTAATTATATCCCAAACACCATGCCATATTCCATTAAAACAATGGTGGCGATATTCTCTAGCTACGAATCCAAAATCTATCAAGGTGGAGTGAGGAGGACAAAAGACCACCTGTTGGACTTGGTTCTCTGGAATGGGAGAAGGTGGCAAAGCAACGTCTTCCGCTGACAATTTTCTTTAATTTTTTGGGCTCGTCAGAATTGGGGTGACAAACGACAGAAAACCTGTCGCGTTTATGAATGTGGAATTGGGCCTTCGCAGTTGGTGAATTCGAATGTTCCAATCTTGAAACTGACCGAGGAGCATTGGATTATGCCAGCCGATTGAACCATACCTCGCATGTATTGGCCATTTCTGCAATGCTACTGGCATAGGCGCTGCTCCATGGGAATCGGTGATTAAAATCCGTTCTAGAAACTGCCAAATCAATTGATGTGGCTATGAAGTCGATCGGAAAGTGTAGTTTATGGAATACTAAACCGGTTTGTTGCTTAACGAATTGAGCGAGTTCCTGGCCTCTGAAGCTCTAGTAACCAGCAATAATGTACTCTCTTGCTCAAAGAATTTTCTTGATTTTTAGAGACTGGTGACATTGGGTAGTGAATAGGTGCGAGTTGATTGGAGGTGAGGTCGTCAGTAGTGCTGAGTAATCCACCTTTTCGGCCCCGCGGCCTCGGGCCCCGGAATGGGCAGAATTGAACTCCACACAATTCCCGACATCTGCAGGCTAGATTGTTCCACGCATACGCGATGATTCTTTAATTATTTGCGCATGCTACCTATACTTGGTCACTGGATTGGAATGAAAAGACGCAAATAAACCGTCAACCAAGCGCGCCGAACATGGAGCCAGTGGCGGGGCCCTCCAACACCTCTACCACCGCCCAACCGCGTCCGCCCTCGGCGACAGGAAGTCACCAGATTACCCGGAAACGTGTGAGCTATAGCTGTCAAACCTGTCGGCGGCGCAAAGTCAAATGCGACAAGGTGATCATCCTGAATTCGAAATATGGTGCTTGAACTGAACATTTGTTTTTAGATACTTCCAGTATGCGGCAACTGCGCGAAAAACAATACCGAGTGTGTCTACGACACGGAACCACAGCAAGATGACACACAACCCAGTCGCACCCGCCGGGCGAATAGAACCAAACGGCGGAGACAGACTCAACAGGAAAATACAGATGAACACCTGCCGACCTATGACAATTCGAGGACAGCGTCATTATCAAATGTCCAGAAAACAGATTTAAGCGCCGTTGAAGCCCATCTGGCTCAACTTGTGTCGCTCGTTGACCGGCTAAAGAAGGATAACCGGGCACATGAATCAACGGAAGTGCAAGCGCCTGCATTAAACTCTAGCGCGGAAACCGCGCCGATGGAAGAGGGCAATTCTGCTACCAAATCCCTCGTCGCACGGCCTGACAGTCCGTTGAGTGCTCCTACTGACTGTAGCAGCGATGAGTTTCCCATTCCAAACGGTCAGACTACAGATCTTGTTGATCCACTGGGAACTTCGAATTTGGGCCACATGTCCTTGGGGGATGGCGGGAGTTCAAGGTCAGTATCGACACGCTAAGCTAAGGTGCGTTTGAGTGTCTAACTTTTGGTTAGATATGTTGGAACGACGTATTGGGCTTACATTTCTCATGAAATGGACGAGCTCAATCAATTGCTCGGAAACCAGAATCGGTCGCATGATTTAACAGCAGGGAGTGATCATACTGCAACCGATTCAGTTTCTAGCGAGCGAAGACATCGGAAAGAATCGATAAGCAGCCAAACCACCAGCCCAGCCACGCGCTCTCCCTTTCCGCTCGGCTTCTCGGGACCCATCCAGAAAGCTGTTTGCATCCCATCGGGTTATTTCTCAGTGAATGATAAAGCGGTGGAGGCAGATATGCTTAAGCATGTTCCGACAAAATGGCAGAGTGACATTCTCTACAAGGGATTCATGTCTGGTGTCCACTCATTGAGTCCTATGATTCATCCTCCGATGATCTTAAAACTTTACAATGCCTTCTGGGACTGGTACGACGGCAAAAGCTATACGGGGGAGCCATGCCCTAGTCCTTCTTTCATTCCACTCCTATACGCAATATGGTTTGGAGGTTCAGTTTCGATTTCCATGAGAACAATGGAGACAGAGTTCAATACTTCGTCACGAGCTATCCTCTCGACAAAGTATAGCGAGGAGGTTACTTGTTGGTTGGCCAAGATCTCATTTCCCCACAGCGTCACGCTTCACGGTCTGGCGGCCTATCTTATTGCGCAGACAATTTTGTCAAGGGAGGAAGAACCTTTGGCAAGTAGTTTGTTTGTCAGTTTAGCTGTGAGAGTGGCGCAGACTTTAGGGTTACATCGGGATCCCTCCCATTTTAATATCGACCCATGGGAAGCCGAGTTCCGACGCCGACTGTGGTGGCATATCATGCATATGGATGGCGTTATCGCGATGTCGAGTGGGCTTCCGCCATTGCTTACCGATGACACTTACTGGGATGCTCGGGAGACGAGCGAGGTCAAGGACACCTTGTTGGGTACTGCCGAAGCCAAGCAGTATGAACAATCGGTTGCCAGCGGCCAGCGGCCACCTGATAATCCGGACGACCCGACTGTCTGTGGTGGGCCGTCGATGGTAAACGTGTATTATTTGTCCGCAAAGGGCAAATGCATAATGGCTAGTGAGTGATACTCGGCTTAGATCTCAGGGGCGTGGACTGACCTTTCGGCAGAGTCTGTTCGTAGGATTCTAAAGATCCAACTAGGCACGAAGCCTCTAACAAGAGGGGATATGGTTGAGCTACGCTCTGTGCTTCATGATCTTCAAGTCAAACTCAACTCCATTATAAACAGAATTCCAGAGACAACTGCAACTGAAAAGTCAGCAGCGTCTTCAAGACGAGCTCCGAATTCCACCGCGGAGGAACTTCCCATTGAAGGTCCATCTGGCTGCCCGGAGCAATATCATTCAGTAGTCCTCGTCTCGTTTCATAAATGGGCCAGGATTATTTTATCATTATTCATCGATAAGGTCGGCCTTCTCATTCAGAAATACCGTTCGGCACTAACATGGATGTAGGCATTTTGCGTTGCGTACCAACCATTCCTTAGGAATCCTCGAAGTCGAATCTGGCCCGTAGCACGCCAAAGGTAAGCACCGCGACTCATTGAGCTACTGAATCTAATTCAAATAGTGCGCTACGCCATTGTTATTCATTCATGGAGAAGTTTATTCGATTGGCGACGGATCCCGACTTTCAGCCGTTTCAATGGGGCTGGCCAGGGTGAGTATTCCGATCTTTCATATAGGAATTTTGACTAATAATCGCCAAGGAATCATCAGCCCATGCATGCGATGATGTATGTTGAAAGCTCGAGTTAGTAGCTATGCTAACTAGATCTAGGATTATTCTCATCGATTTATACGAACGACCATTTAGCCCCGAAGCCTCCGTGTCACGCGGATTCATTGATCAAATCATGTCGCTCTCTGGACCAGACGGGGGCGTCGTAAGTGGCGGAGATGACATTTTCACACAGCGTCCGCTGAGGAATGGAGGCCGCGAGGCCTGGGATATGATCCGTCGTCTGCGCCAAAAGGCCTGGCAGAAAGCCGGTCTGAACCCACAATTGCCCTGGACGGGAAAAGATTGGCCAACCGAGTCTGGCTTTGCAAATACACCTTACTTCAAATTCCTGTCATCTGCAACCGTGACCGAACCTACTACGAGCGCAGCAGTGACTGCCACCCTCTCGTCATGCGACAAAGCATTTGCTCCCGACTTAGCCTTTGCTCGTTCCTCCGCTGCTACTATCCCGACTCAACAATCCATCCTCAACTCTCCTACGATCGACTTCATGAATGCCGCCGATCCGAACACGATGCCAGCTCCTGAGCCTTCTGCACCCTTCATGCTCGATCCGAGCCTCAATTTTGACTGGGGCGAATGGGACAATATCTTTGGGCAGTCTTTACCCGTCGCGGATGAGCTTATGGAACTCGATCAAGTCACGGGGCTTGCATTTGCGGACTTGGAAAATGGCGCTACGTGAGACGAGCATGAAATCGAGACAACTAAATATCCCGCTGGGTCTGCTCAGGCTCTGCATTCCAACAGTACGCCTTTCTTTTTCTTTTTACCTCCTCACCCTATATGGGATGTTGACTCCATTTCACTATGGGTTCCATCCTTCTTTGTCTCGTGGCATTCGAGTTGAATCTCTCATGCCCTGAGATTATCCAATGTGGACTCTCCAAACATTATGGTAGTAACCAATTACTATCTATCATTCTGCGAGAATCCCTGACATGCTAGGGGAGCAGTTTGACGACATGATGTGAGGCACACTGATACAGGACTTTTGTACGGTGCATCATTGGACGTGATTGTACTCAAGTACTTTGTCTGCAATCTTGTGCTTCTGAAGGTCTTGTAGGAGGACGACACTTGGATTGACACCATAGTGAGTTACTTCCGTAGAGGATGTTGGATTAATCGGAATGGTTTACGACAATGGCCAGTTTGCGAATACAATTTTGGATTCTCCGTGCTCTCTACATTCTTCCTAGCGTAGTAACGACAGAGAACAGGTGACCCTTATGTGGGTATGATTCAGAGAGCCTTTACTGGGCCCTCTAGGAAGATTGTATCTTGAGGGTATCAATGGTTAATATCCCGCTATTGTAACGGATAAACATCCTTGCAATATGGAGAGTCACCTGACCGTGAACCCCGCGTACAAGTGTCGACTTCGTATTAATCCAAATTGATCTTATCAATAGAACAATTAGATCTACTTGGTCCGCAGCGGCAGAATAACCATCGTGAACAGAAAGGTTCACGTCGAATGAGACATGTTCGCTCCACCAGGCTCCCCAGATGTCTTAGCCCTGGCAAAATTCGCCTATCAAGTCTATGACACCTACAAAGGCGCTCCAAAGAGATTCAAAGATCTCACAGGTGACATCAAAGGACTTGAGATTCTCCTCCTGAAACTTGGGAACAGACTTTCCCTCCAAGGGGATACTACCGACCAAGATGATTCTCACAAAACTTTATTATCGTCTGATGAAGCTGCGGGCTTGGAACAGCTTGTCAAACAAGCCGGAGAGATGTTAGAAGAGTTGCAGCAGAAACAAGGATATGCATCAGCTCCAAGAGGATTGAGTCGATTTAGGTGGTCCCAGGGGGAAGTGGACTCTGTGAGGTCGAGAATTACGTCTCTTTGTGCGATCATTGGAGCATTTAATAGCGGTTTGGCGCTTCCTAATATTGCGTCAAGAGTTCCCGTGTGAGTCCCATCATAGTCATATCAACTGCAGTGTGCTGAAAGCATTTCCCTTTTGACGATGAATTACTGACTGAAAGTAGGGTCGACAAACAACAAGAAATCTTGGATAAGTTAGATAACTTCCTTCTGAGTCTCAACAAGGATAGCCTCTCATCTACTATCTCCGTGGCCGGTTCGAGCGTCCCAACCCTTGTTGAAACCGAAAACGAGGTGAACCCTATCTCCGTGGCCGGACCGAGCGCCCCAACCCTTGTTGAAACCGAAAACGAGGTGAACCCAGAATGGCCCAAGCTAGTCCGCCGAATGACCGAGTACGGTATATCCGAAGCAGAAGCAGAGCAGAATCAAGATCTCATTCTGAAATGGACAACTCGTGCATCTGAACCCGCGGGTTCACTTCCTCTCCAGCGATCACCAACTACCAACTCTATGGGAAGTATAGATGACGACTTAGGTTTAGGAGCGCACAAACGAGAAATTGAAGTCCTCTCAGCCGTATACGGACCCAAAATTGTCACAGACATTATGAGACACATTATCAATGCGCACTTAGGTCTAAAGATGACTAGAGTGCCTTTCTCGGCTACGAACGAGACATTCGGTGGAGATCCTTGGCGGAACCGCATTAAGGCTTTCTCAATGGTCTGGCGAAAAGTGATTCGTCTCGATTATGGAAACCTCTATTCAGCTCCTCAGAAACTGTTCGCTGAGGAAGGTGAAGTGCTTACCATCGATCTTTCAGTTCCACTGCCTTTCCACAAGAGTTCGGAAACGAATCAACGGGGTTCGATCTATATTTTGAATGCAAGCTGGCACAACTTAGACGTCACGAAACATGTCAAATCGATAACGGCAAATGATCCTCGACCGAGTATCATGGCATCGACTCATGAGTTCTTCGCAATAGATCCGTGCTACGGACACGGGAAGGTCATGTCCGTGACATGGGCGTACTCGGATACCGCGGCGGCACTGTCACATTGCGAGGTGAAGACTGTGACTGAGAATTCTTCGATCCAAGTCCCTCCATTCCTGGATATTATTCGTGCGAACTGGGGTGGGCTGGACATTACGAATCTTGTTCGAGCGAAGATCACACCTCAGCAGACATTATACTTTGACACGAAGAATGTCTCGGCCTTTGCGTCTCCCGATCCGCTACCTGGATGGCAAAAGACAATTTCGATACTATATCAGTATGGTTCTTTGGAACCGATGCAAATGCTGGTTGCAGGTGAAGACTCTGGCTATGCCATTATCGACCCGGGGGATCGAATGAGACGGAATTTCTTTTTTTCTAAGAGCATAGAGGTCACATCAGATATCAGAGTGGTAGCTGCTGTGTGGGGATTGCAGCCTGTTTCTGAGAGAGTGTTTGGCAGGGCTGTGACAGAGAGGAAGAAAGTCCTTTGTAGTAATGCCTTCTTTGGGAGGGATGGATGGGGTGGGAGAATAAAGACTCTTCAGGTATTCTTGCAGAATGGACATACGGGGGAGTGTGTTTGTGTGAGTGAGAAGGAGGGGAATGTCCTTGAGATGCCAACTATTTGGCCAGAACATTAAACAGCCTAGCTAAAACCTACTCTACACTACCTTCTATAAAAGGAAATAGGTGACCCTCAACAAATTATGTGATCTTTTAATATCCCCCAATGCCAGCATTATCAGAATGGCCCTAACGCCGTTACCAGTCCTAACACTATCCCAGGGTAAATACCTGTAAGGTATCTGGATTTATAATGTTTTGATTAGCTCCCGGAAGGTGAGGCTCAGATATTTGGTCTTATAAATACCTGACTTCCTATGCTCTGATTAGTCTGAAAGCTTATAAAGTTCTATTCTATCTACATATGTAGATAGCATGATCTGACTCTATGTACTGATTTTATACATGATCTTTGAGCCAATAAGCATAGAGACCCTGTTAGGGACAACCCACTCTTCCGGTTCTAGCTCGACACCAATTCGTCTTGATTCGATGACATGTTCTTCGTCATAAGGATCACGATGGGAGAGATATTCGATCATGCGAGGGTACCAATATTCTTCCAAAAATTCCATCACGGGTTGGCCAAGATCGTCAAACTTGATTTTGAGCTCATCGAGAAGTTTTTCGAAATCCATTATTCTCAAGTTCTCTTCGTCACGAATCTCTTCGGCCTCTTCTTCTTCTCTGCTTTTGAGTTTGAAGCCACAAGGGGTGTAACGAAGGATGGGAAACTCGTAGTTTTCGATACAACATGAGTGTTCCAGACCCAATGCATCAAAGGTCAGAAATCTGACAATCTCCCAGCCAGTTTCCGCATTCCTTCTAGTCCACCAAAGGAGGAATTGTATGAACTCTTGGAACCAAAAGCTGATATCTCCATTCTTGTAGCCGTAAAAGAAATCAAAAATATGTCGTAGCAATACTGACATCGCAGTACATCCGCCGGGAGAGCAGGCGCAGACACATCCATCCCAAACCGAAGGAAGGAGAAATATTCTCTTTCCGAGCTCCACGACAGTCTGCTCCCAAGCTCGATATTGTTCCAGGGGGTCTAATCCGACCCCTTCAGACCTGTCGAAACTTTCGAAGAAATAGTCGACGATCTTCAACCCAAGATGATGCGCTGTAGTTGCACTTGTTCCAGGTACTTCTTGATATGGATCAGCACCTTTTGAAACCAGCCAAGCCATTCGCTCCATGTCGTTTCTCCCAGCAGATCGTCCAACCCGACTGCCATGTATGTCTCGTGCTGAAGTCATGAGAGGCATGACGCCTTGGGAGTTAAGTTGGTTGACACCCCTGAAGCCAACCTGGTATAGTTCTTCTAGCGTGTCGGCAGAGAAATGGTAATGATAAACAGACCCGTAAGCAATCTCGTCGTCAAAATATGCAGGGTGTAGGATTGGATCGATGTATATCTCTTCATTTACTAGTCGAGCATGAATGTCTGCGGTGTGTATATCGAGTATCGTAGCTTTGCCTGTCTTCTCGTCGTCTGATATCAATTTCGGAAGTTGACCAGCAGGCAAGCAAGATTGGGCCAAATGCCAAAGTCTTTTGCGTCGTGTGGCCAATTCATTGACAAGAAGCGATTTTATTTTGCCGCTGCCTTTGAAATTTTGGCATTCATAAATATCATCCCAACTAAATGGCCACCCAGCCTCAATGAGAAGTTTGACTGAATGATAAGTATTCTCCATGTTGTCGTCTTCGACATAACGGAGTCCTGAAGTAATGTAACCCGGTGCTGCGCCTGCTTCTAGTAAGATCTGGATTCCTTTTGGCCACCCAAATGCATAATCAATCAAAAACCAAGTGTCATCTATCATGTCGTTTGGCGAAGCTGTTCCCAAGTTGAGAGCATCTCTCAATTCACCTTCGGACTCTTGAACTATGATCCTTACGATATTGGGGACCTGTATTGCTTGAAGCAAATTAGTGTTGTTGAATGGGATACGAGAAATGTTCACATACAGTCATTGTTTTGGGAAAGTAGGTGCTGAATACCCTGCCTGTCGGCTAGAGATTCAGGAGCGTGTATAGTGAAGGAATAGCCAAGGTCGAGTAGGCGCGAGCCTAGAGAGCATTCTTCTCTGAAAATGGTGAATTCGTCACGGTACCATGCGGTGATATGGTGGTGCTTTGCGTTTGGCTTGGAGCCGCAATCCAATAAGAAGTTGAGAAGTCTGTGAAAGTGGTCGGATCGACCTGAGTCGATCGACCTCCCACGATAGTTGTAAAAAAGCTATTTGTGTGAGAGAAATAGGTGGCGTCGGAATGGGGTAGCGCCTACATCAAAAAGTGAAAGCTCTTGACCGCAATGCTCAATCAACTCAAATGGCGTTGCCTTTTGTAGATCGAATGCCCATTGAAGATACTGCAACGTGTGATTCACGAGTAATTCAAATTCATCTGGTGCTGCGCATCCAAACAGGACCTTGAACCGAAACTCTTTACATAATCGGTATCCTAGACTTTTTCTTTTGTCCAATAGAGTCTGTAGGTGCAGAAAAGGAGCGATTGAATACCCTCCAGCTCCCCTTTTGAGCGAGAATGTTGCTTCAATAGCAAAACCCAACAGGTGACTACAATAGTAGTAGGACGCCTTAATGACTTCTGTTTCCTTGCGGGATGGACGTGAGCGAGGTTTACATCCACTGTTCGCCGGATTGCGATCCTGGTAAGCAATTGATGTGTCACGAGTTGCTTCTGTTTTGTATGAGCTTGGAGAGGTTCCATCACGATTCATCTCGACGGAGGCGCTCTTTATCATATGGTCACCCCGCGTTGCTATTTGCAAAGATGAGCTCAGTCCAGACAGTTGTTCTCCTTGAGCACACCATGACTGTAGTAAACTTGGGGGTGGCATGAATTGCTTTGGTATATCTCGTAACGTCAAGTGCTGGAATCAATTAGCATGAGCCGTAGTATGGGTACAGGAGGGAATACCATCGCCTGCATCTCTTGAGTCATCTTCCCTAGGACAGCTCGAGTATTTTGCGCCGAATAGCTGATACTTGTTTAGCCCCATAACATTACTCGCATGAGATTGCTTCAACCTCGAACAATCAAAAAGCAACAGACTCACATCAGTAAGGCTGTAGCGAGCACCCCCTGGACGCTATCCAGATCATCTGCCATGTCACGCAACCATTCCTTTCGGAAGGGATATGCAGCCTTTTTGAGCTGGAACCGAAGAGAGCCTTGCTCGGATGTGGTACGTGCATATCGATCTACCGCTGTCTTGAGCCGTTTTATCGCCTCTTCGATGCTCTTTGCCTTCTCTTCGAGGTCGTTCGCGATCGTGGGGTCGGTGGTACGGAAGTCTTTAATCAGTTGCCTTAAAGATCTCAGTGGCATACAAAGCCCATTGGCTTTTTGACCGATATTTTGGATATCCTCATCGAAACCCCGCCATGCCTGGCAAAACGAAACAATCTCGCCACAGACCTGCAAACCGAGGGATATAATACCCACAGCTGTACCGGCCACGGAGAGAGGGTCAGACATGACTGGATAAAGTGAAAACGAGAAGAGATAAGAGTGAGAACTTGGAGGTCGTTCCTTTTAGTGGACTGCATGGCTAGCGCACGTGTCGTGGCGCCAATCAGAGGCGTTGGTTGGTGAGGCTGAGCATGAACGAACCTATGCCCAAGTCATTTCAATATTTGATAAGCAGACACCTTGGAAGCTCAAATATAAAATTCTCACTAAATTGATGTATATATAGGTAGATGTTGAAGCTGATTGAAGGGTATCCAACTACACAATTCCCCACATGGCCCCTCTATTCCCCACTCATCGGCAACATCTCCGAGATCTACAACTCTCTCTGCCTCTCTCTCTCTCCCTCTCCCTCTCCCTCTCCCTCTCCCTCTCCCTCTCCCTCTCCCTCTCCCTTCTCTTTCCCTAACACCCTCCAACAATCCAAACCCCCAAACCAAAAAGCCATGACAACAGAATACCCCCACCGAATCGCCCTCCTAGGCCTCGGCACAATCGGCCTCTCAATGCTTGCAATGCACCTCCGCCGCCCAGACACCAGCATAACAGTCTACGACCCCCGACCAGACTACGAATCCCAAATCCGGAGCACACTCCCCTCCCTCCTCGATTCCCCCGATTCAACAACCCTAATCGACGACCTAATCCGCACATCCCGCCTAAAACTAGCCACCACCCTCCCGGAAGCCATCCAAAACGCAACAATCGTCCAAGAACAGAGCCCGGAAGTCACGTCCTCGAAACAAGCCCTGTGGAAGGAAGTCGCCGGTCTCGCTGGTCCAGATACCCACTTATGGAGTAGTTCATCTGGGATACCCGCGTCGGCGCAAGCAGCCGGGTGCGAGGCTGCGGACCGTGTTGCTGAGCGGTTACTCGTGGCGCACCCGTTCAACCCGCCGCATTTGATGCCGCTTATTGAGATTGTGCCTGGGCCTGAGACTAGTTTTGGGAGGGTTGAGTTTGTGAAGAAGTATTTTGGCGATATACCTGGTCCCGGGGCTTCGGCTAGTGCCGGTGGTAGTGGTTCAAGCGGGGAACAGTCGGCTTCACAGCATTACCGACCTATCACGCTGCACAAGGAGATCCCTGGGTTTGTGGGGAATAGACTTGCTTTTGCGCTGCTGAGGGAGGCGTGTTATCTTGTTGGGGAGGGGGTTGTGTCGGCGAAGGATTTGGATTCTCTTGTTACGGCTAGTTTGGGGCCGCGGTGGGCTGGTAGTGGTGTGTTTGAGAGTTATCATGCTGGTGGTGGAGAGGGTGGGATTGGGGCGTTTTTGCAGAAGCTTGCGCCTACGATTCAGAATGTGTGGGGGGAGTTGGGGCAAGTTGATATTGAGGGTGAGCAGGCATGGAAGGACTTGGTTGTTAAACAGACGGAAGATGCTTATGGGCCGTATACTCCTGAGACAAGGAAGAAGAAAGAGGAGATGTTGAGGGATGTTGTAGAGATGCAGAAGAAGAAATGGGGGGAGTTGTGATAATGTACGGATATAACTACTCTTCTAGAGTTACTAGGTTGAAAAGTGAACAATAGAGTGCTCTATTCGCATTCTTGTATATCTAGAGGGCCATAGCTCCCCTATTAAAAAACCAAAACATTTTGTTACGTCATATTCGTTCCGTCCCTTACAGAATCTGCTGGAAAGCACGGTTAATGGGCGAGCGCACGGTGTGGCCCTTGTAGAAGTCGATGGTGGCAAGAGCACGCTTGCTGATGCCCTCGGGGGTGAACTCGAATTTCTGCAGACAATTAGTAAATGATCATGGGACAGTGAGTGAAGATAACTTACGGCGTACACCTCCTTGTAGGGACCGGAAGCACCGAAGCGGTTGAGACCGAACTGCTCGTGAGAGTAGCGCTCCCAACCCATGGTGCTCAGAGCCTCGACAGACAGAACGGGGATGCCGTCGGGCAGGACCTGGAGACGGTACTCCTTGGTCTGGGCATCGAAGACCTCGAAGCAAGGAATGGACACAACACGAGCAGCAACACCGTGCTTCTCCTGGAGGTATGTGGCAGCCTCAATGGCGATGCTGACCTCAGAACCAGTGGAAACGATAGTGATGGCAGCGTTAGGGGTGTCGACAGCGACGTAACCACCCTTGATGGCGCTCTCGAGGGTAGAGAGCTCAAGCTGGGGCAGGTTCTGGCGGGTCAGAGCCATGACGGTAGGAGTGTGCTTGGAGGTGATGGCGGAGTAGTAGGCAGCGCTGGTCTCGTTGCCGTCAGCGGGACGCCAGACCATGCAGTTGGGCAGAGCACGGAAGTGAGCCAGAGTCTCAATAGGCTGGTGAGTGGGGCCGTCCTCACCCAGACCGATGGAGTCGTGGGTAGCGACGTGGATGACACGGACGCGGGACAGAGCCGACAGGCGGAGGGCACCGGCGGCGTATGAGACGAAGTTCAGGAAAGTACCACCGGCGGGGATGATGGTGCCGTAGGCAGCCAGACCGTTCATGACGGCAGCCATGGCGTGCTCACGCACACCGTAGCGAACGTAGCGACCGGCCCACTCACCGATACCAAGATCAGGGGGCTGGAAGTCAACAGCGTTCTTCCAGCGGGTGTTGTTGGAGCCAGTCAGATCGGCGGAACCAGAGACCAGCTCGGGAAGGATGTCGTGGATAGCCTCGAGGCAGGCCTCAGAAAGCTTACGGGAAGCAACGGCAGCATCAGTAGGCTTGTAGACGGGGAGCTTCTTCTCCCAGCCCTCGGGGAGCTTGCCGGAAAGACGGCGAGCGAGGTCAGCACCCTCGGTCTTGTGCTCGGACTGGTACTTCTCGAAGAGCTGGTTCCACTCCTGCTCCTTGGCAGCACCCTCAGCGGCGTGCTTGTGGTACATATCGTAAACCTGCTGGGGAACAGCGAAGCTCTCCTCGGGGTTGAAGCCGAACAGCTTCTTAACGCTCTGGGCGTCGTCAGCCTTGAGGGGGTTGCCGTGGACACCACCGGTACCGGCAAGCTTGGAGCCGAAGCCAATGGTGGTGGTCAGCTTAATGACGGAGGGCTTGTCAGTAACCTGCTGACACTTGCGGATGGCAGCCTCGATACCCGCGAGGTCGTTGTCACCATCCTTAACCCACTCGGTGTGCCAGCCGTAGGCCTCGAAGCGCTTCATGACATCCTCAGTGAAGGCACACTTGGTGTCACCGTCTGTGGAGATAAGCCGGTCAGCCTTTCATATCTAGCTTTGAGGTCGAGTCAATCTTACCAATGGAGATGTGGTTGTCATCGTAGATGGCAATCAGGTTGCCAAGCTTGAGGTGACCAGCCATGGAGGCAGCCTCGCTGGCAATACCCTCCATAGCGCAACCATCACCGAAGAACATGTAGGTGTAGTTGTTGAAAAGCTCGAATCCGGGCTTGTTGAAGACACCACCGGTGTGAGCCTGAGCCATGGCGAGACCGACAGCGTTGGCGAAACCCTGGCCAAGAGGACCAGTGGTGACCTCAATACCGGGGGTGTCGTGAGCCTCGGGGTGACCGGGAGTGATGCTGTCGAGTTGCTACTAAAATGAGTACAAGACTGCTGGAATATGGCTTGGAGGGACTTACACGGAAGTTCTTCAGGTCATCCAGGGAGAGGGCGTATCCGAACAAGTGGAGGAGAGCATACTGGAGCATGCAGCCGTGGCCGTTACTATCCGATTTGAGATTAGCAGGTATTCCAAGAGCATGGTCATTGGGGTTCGGATGGAAAGGCTATTGCCAACCCGTAACCAGCCTGACTTCAGAGGGAGAAAAGACTTACGAGAGAACGAAACGATCACGGTTAGCCCACTCAGGGTTCTTGGGGTTGAAGTTCATGAACTTGTTGAACAGAACGTGGGCCACGGGGGCCATGCCCATAGGGGCACCGGGGTGACCGGAGTTGGCCTTGGAGGTGGCATCAACCTGATAGCGAAATGTCAGTCAAATTTCCTGGATTAAACGCATTGAAGCTTCATATGAGCCCGAAGACCCCGATGTTGCTCCAATTGAACGTATGAAAGAGAGGGGCGATTGCCCGGTGAAGCTCAACGTACCGCGAGAACACGGATGGTGTTGACAGCCAACTGGTCCAGATCAGTGTAACCCATGATGGCGGATTCTAATACCGTTAGAGATGAAAACCAATTCAAGTCAGCTAGATACGTACATTTTTGAGTGAATGGAGTGATTGGGAGGAGGATGAATGAGAGAGGGAAGAGAAGAGGGAGGGGAATGTATTTGTTGGTGGGGGTATGATGTCGGGTGGGGGGGACTTGTGGCCTTGCAGCTCAATTCAGCGACATTATTTACCAGGTCACATTTAACATTTAACAGAATCTATTTTTACGGGATTATGAATATCTCATTTTACAGGCTAAATCAATCTTGGACTCTTTAAAAACTTGTACATTTTTCTTATCTAGTTATTGCATCACTGGCTGACTCATCGAGGCACCTGGGCAACTATATCTGCACTATATACCTAGGTAGTATGTACCTATGAACGTTTATATATCAACATACCAGTGAACATTATACTCATTGCCTCTCCTGTACCTGTATTTCTCAAACATCAATAGCCGTTTCTTCCGTTGTGACCTCAATGGCCCGCATTTTCCGACACTCTTCCGGCATTGACATCCACACGTTCTGTTAGTATACACCGGGAGCCGCCCGGAGGACCCTGCTCCGACTCGCAACCGGCCTTTTCCACGGAGTGAAATTAGCCGAATTTCCATCTATGGCTGCTCAATAACCGTGCCGATATGATCAGCTGGTCAACAGAAAAAAAAAACAGTTCTGAGCGAATTCGTGCTCTGGACCTCGGGAGGCTCCTGGATAACTCAGAGCGCTTACAAACGTACCTGGACCTCGGATTCCCCAATCAGGCCAATCCGAGGCAAGATTGAAACACCAATGACAATGGAATTCTACGAATATAAGTGGAATGGTACTAGTTCCAAGGAATTAATAACGTGACCCCCACAGAGAAAGTAGCCCCCGGAACGTGTTGGGGAATTCAACCACTCGGTGTGCCGGAAGAAGAGTAGCGCCGGAGAAAAACATCAAGTCACGTGCGAAGTATATTCGAACTGTACATCTATGTGATACAACTCTAGGCATCGTTTGTTTCTGTTAAAATATTCGAGACGTCTGTATAACATGGGCGTTGAGCCACCCTTGGCTGCTCTTAGCATATCTTCGTCCAATCTCCCAATCTGAGTACATATACCACCTACCCTTGCTGTGCTTCCCCGGAAAGTCACCACCAGTCAGGATTAGAAAGAGGAGAACCTCCCAGTCCAATATCAAATTTTGAAGACTATACTTGCATCGTATCATTCACGTTGCTTCCAATCTTCATTTATATCATTATTAAGCACCCAAAGAGTCCACGGCCTTTCTAGGCAATCGCTACCCCCGGAACCTCAACTCCGACGACTTGTGTGAAGGGGAACTTCAGGCAAAATCCCCCACCTCAGAACCTCCAGCTCAAGTTGAGCAACGTGTCAGTCAGGTCAGCTTGCGCCACATGCACATATAAAATTGGCCACTTCCTTTCAGCTGCTAGATCTCCATGACACAACAGAAAGGAACTAGGGCATCTGACTGATATGGCTTGGATATCAAAGTATATTGATCGGGACTCGTGGTAAGAATCGTCGTATGGTGAACTTACAAGGGGAATTATTGTACTACTTAACACGGAAAACCCTTGGATTTGGAACGATGTCGGAATTCTTGCAACCCCGGACCTCGTGATTGTCTGTGGCTTGAGTCAGCTTACAGGGGTTGGCCCTCAACTTAGGACCTGTAGCTCAGCATGCCCACATTCCTTTATATAAAGGGTAGCTATATTGAGCGAATCGTCATCATTATCTCTATTGACGGGTCACCATTCAGCATCTGCTCAAATATATCGAGATATCTTGTCGCACGCCATGGACAGAGAAGACAAGTCTACTCAGTCCAAAACCGATGTGTAAGTCACCTACCAGCTTTACCCAGCATGTTCTGATATTCTCTCGCAGACTCATCATCGGTGCCGGTCCATCCGGCATGATGGCAGCCTACTGGATGGCTCGCTATGGAGTCAGCGCACGTATTATCGACAAGCGTGACACGAAGGTCTTCATAGGACATGCAGATGGGCTTCGTGCACGCACGCTGGAGTTGTTTGACAGCATGGGTATCCAACACCGTGTTATACAGGAGGGATCTATCAGCACCGAAGCAAATATTTGGGTATGTATTTAGCTCGTTTTGCACAGCGACTAGGGACTGTCTAACAGCGCTATGGATAAATAGGTTCCAGGTCCACAGGGAAAGCTTGTCCGACAGGCTTCCATTAATATCTCTAGGATCGATGAGTCGCCATTCTACAATACATGCCTGACCCAGGGACGCATTGAGCGGTTCATTCTCGATAGTATTCGGGAACACTCTGATCTTGACGTGGAATACAGCGTGATCGCCAAGTCTTTGGAGTATGACGAGGAATTGAGTAATGATCCCAACTCATATCCTATTACAGTCAAGGTCCAAATTCTTGGTGAAGATGATTCGAAAGTCGAAGCTAGGTCTGAAGCTGCTGGCAACGAGGTGAACCGCGATAACTTACTTCCTGATGACCGGGTCGATCTAGCCCAACGCAAAAAACTACAGAAGACGCAGGTTGAGACTATCAAAGCCAAGTATCTGATCGGATGTGATGGTGCCCACAGCTGGACGAGAAAACAGCTAAACATTCCCGTGGAAGGGTCTAACACGGACCATATATGGTAAGTGACACACATTGTCCAATAGACCCACAGCAGCTAATATAACCGTGTATACAGGGGCGTGATAGACGTGATACCACTCAGCAACTTCCGTAAGTATTACCCACTGTCCACACTGCTCCCTCAACAACACCGACTAACTCAAACAGCGGACGTCCGCCGACTAAGCGTCGTGACCAACGCCGCAGGCACAATTCTCGTCATCCCACGCGAACGCGGCTTAGTTCGCTTTTACGTTCCCGTTCAAACCTGCGAAGCGGGCAAAAACGACCGATTCGACCGCTCGAAAATCACACCGGACCTAATCCGGGCGCGTGTGCAAGCCATCTTTGCCCCATTCACCTTCGACTTCAAGGAATGCAGCTGGTGGACCGTCTACCAAGTCGGACAGCGGATCTCTGCGCAATCCACAAAGGATAACCGGGTCTTCCTTGCTGGTGATGCGGTACACACGCACTCCCCTAAGATGGGACTTGGGATGAATATGAGTTTGCAGGATGGGTTCAATGTTGGGTGGAAGATTGCCCTTGCTGTGGCGGGTACGCTCAAGCCTGAGGTTCTTGAGACTTACGCTTTGGAGAGACACCCACTTGCGGAAATGTTGCTTGACTTCGATCGCAATTGGTCGCCTATGTTTAATGATCGGAAACCTGAAGTGGTGGATACGAAAGCTTCGGACATGGCTCTTATTGCAGAGAGGTTTGAGGACTTTGCAGATGGGTGGAAGGTGTTTTACCCCGCGAGCAGTCTTGTTCGGAAGGCTGAAGACAATGCTGAATTTGCTTTTGCACGACATATGATTCCTGGGGAGAGAGTCCGGCCGGTAAAGCTTCGAAATCAGGCTGATGGCACTCCACTATGGACAACAAGATCGTTGGAAAGCGATGGGCGCTTCCGCATTCTAGTTTTAGCTGGGGATATACGAAACCCAATGCAGAAGCAGCGCATTGAGACTTTGGCCCAGGCCTTGGATGAACAGTCTGGATCGAGTATTTCACCACTCGGCCGCTACTTGGAGATTCCTGGTCGATACAAGAGCCCTATTGATGTACTAACCGTCCATGCTTCGCCGCGGAAAGGGGTAGAATTCTTTGATTTCCCAGAGATCCTGCGTCCATTCGATCAGGTGAAAGGATGGGCATATGACAAGATTTGGTGTGACGATGCTTGCCTATTTGATCGATATTGTGATGGAACAGCATATGAGAAGTGGGGGGTTGACCGGGTTCTTGGAGCGCTGGTGGTCGTTCGCCCGGATCAATATATCGGATGGGTGGGTGAACTTGGAGATGTGAAGGGATTGACGCATTACTTGGATAGAATTCTTGTGAAGAAGTCACCGACAGACGAGATTGACTCAGTCCTCTAGTGAATATTGCATGAGACAATAGCAGTACTGTAGGACAAATTTCAATAAATTGTTGCAAGCTAACCTAACGCTTCGAAGTAGCCGACTGATTGAATAAACAATGGTGTTCTGACATAAAAACAAGGAGGACTATTGGTACATGCACAGCTGCGTTATCTAACTGCACTTCGCGCAAATCCACAACCACCTTCATGATTGTGCGCCTGTTTCGGGCATCCACGACCCATCCTCTCGTAGCCCAGTGTTAGGATCATTAACATGAGACGACCCAGGAGCATTCTCTTCTTTATTCAACGAGTCCCGGGTAAGATCTGGATTAGCAGGGAACTGGAACTTCGAGCTATGCCACGGCTTCACTCCCATTCGGTACATAGTATCGATCTCCTCCAGTGTACGACCCTGTCCCTCGATGACGGCGAAGTAAACCAGACCCGCAGCAAGGAAAAGACATCCGGCAAAGACATACCCGAAGAGGAAGTCAATGTCGCCAGTAATAAAGGGAGTGAAGAAGGCAAGGAGGAAGTTCCAGAGCCAGTTGGATGCAGTCGCCAGAGACATGGCGCGTGCGCGGTATTGCGAAGGATACAACTCGGCGATGATCGTCCATACCATCGGACCCCAGGTACTGGCAAAGCCAAGAATGAAAAGACAGGCAAAGACGACCATGACTATACCCGCAGATTTTGTTCTCTCTGGGTCTTCTTGGTCTAGGGAGAAATGGCCCACTGAGGCAAATATCATGAAGCAGACGAACATCCATAAGGCACCGGTTATGAGAGAACGGCGTCGACCATAGTGTTCAATCAGATAGAGGCCAAGGAAGGTTGTTCCAAAGTTGACGCCGCCTAGAATCATCTGGGTAACATAACTGTTTTTGATTCCAGCACCATTGAAGATAGTTGTTCCCTAGTAGATGTTAGCTTGTACTAATTTCTCTGTGTTATACTATGATGTCAGAACTCACATAATAGAAGAAGTAATTAGCACCTGTGAGCTGCTGGAGAGCTTGCAAGGTGACGCCAACGGCGACTCGATACCCCATCGTCGGAGCACGGAACAACTGGATCCAGCTAACCTTTCCGTTGCGCTTCTCTTCTTCGTGTTTCTGTCTGATTTCATCGAACTCGAGATGAAGAGCGCGGTGGTTATGAGGGATACCGTAGATTTTGGCGAGGGTGCTCTTAGCTTTCTCCTTCTTGCCGTTGCGGTAGTCGTAGCGTGGACTTTCAGGAAAGAACATCATGCCAACACCAAGGATTATGGCCCAGATATACGTGATACCCATGGGGATACGCCATGAACCGGTGTCGGTGCGAGATTCGGTTCCAAAATTGATACAGTTGGCAACGAAGATTCCAAGTGTAATGAATAGCTGATATGTACTGGGAAGAGTTAGCAGGCGATAATTGCATTCTGGAATGACCCCAGGGATGGCTGCCCAGCATACCTGATCAGCGAGCCTCGAATATGCCTCGGTCCTGACTCGGCTTGATACATAGGTACCAGTAGAGAGATTGCACCAACTCCGAGCCCAGCAACCCAACGACCCATGGCGACCTGGTACCACTTGCCAAAAGGCGAGGAGATCTGAACGGTGACTCCAATACACACCATCAGAGACCACCAACTGATAGACCACTTTCGTCCTAAGCGGTCGGCGATGGGTGCTGCAACTAAAGCACCTATCAGAGTACCAATCGACAGCTTTAGGTGTGTTAGCATATGAGCAAGAATGGCGTAGAGCACACCGCTTACCAAGGCAACAATGAGACCCGAGCGAACATTGCTGAAATGATAAGTTCCATCCGATTGAGGTTCACCATAGCGATGAAGGAAGTCTTTCATTTCCAGGAAGCCGGAGATCTGACCGGTGTCGTAACCGAAAAGAAAACCACCCATGGAGACGAGAATGCACATAATGAATGAGCGCCATGTGAGGAGCGGAACAGGCGTGTCGACGAGATCATTGGGGCCTTTCTCGTGTTCATTTGAGGACCTTGCGTCGCTAGGGACCTGAGGGTCTGCATAGAGGTCCTGTGGACGTTTTTTGAAAATCTTATCGAACATGGCGCCAGCGAGTACTATTTGGCTGTAATATTTGCTATGTAGCAACTAAATTTTCGATCTCCACGCTGTGCCAGATCAGCCATTCTTATAAAGTGTCTGACCAAGCAAGGATCACGGAAGCCGACTCCTGAGTTTCTTGTGGGAAACGGACTATTACCGATCCAGGCAGGCCGCATCATACGATGACACGTTGATCCAAGAGCCCGAGCATGAGCGATTGACGACCTTCGCTTATGTCCGTAAGAAAATAGAGAATCTGGGGAATTTGACACTCATTTGGCAGGGTTGCTGGTTCAGCCACGGGTTGCCCGGGTGGTTCATCGTTGCTGTTGGTCAAGATATCAAATTCAAACTCCACGCTTTCGAACTCTGAGTGGCGTGGAAGTCTCCACCTCCTGAGCCTCGTGATATTTTATTTCTGGGAAACCAATAATATCGCTGAGGGAACCTGAGTAGGACGATGTCATCACTTGGATCCGGGGAAGTCATGACGATGACCGCCACAAAGCTTGGCATTCAACAGACCCACTTTTAATGTTCACTCTTTGGAGAGATCGTATTGCCAACTAGAATTTTTAAGTGAGCGAGCGGTGGTGGTGCTTGCTCTGAGTCAAGCTGCAATTAGTCTTGATAGATAAACAGACCAGTGTAAAAAGGCACGAGGTTTTCCTTCACGGCACTGTTCTCAGGGTCGCTTATAGAGAGATGATCTATTCAATCGGACATACTTCAGCTCAGAGAATATACAAGAAAAAGTTGGAGAAATTCAAGCCTCCAGGATTTTCATCTATCTACTGTAAACGTAATTTGGAATGGGAGAATTTCTCTCAATTCGTGTATCTAAAATGCATCATGGTCAAACCATCGCTTAATCCTTCCTTTTTTCGGTCATTTTCCGGTTTTCCAAATTGTAATCACCACCACTGGCTACTTCAACCGAGGTAGCTCCCTGCTTAGGCAACTTGCCGAAGTGGAACAGGCTCAATTGAGTCCCCATTTTGCTCAAATTCTCGACTTGAGCTGCCGACGGGCGTCACTGGCTCGTTGATAATCGCATGTTTAGGTTCGGATTGGCTTTCCAGGCGTGCGCGATCCAAGGTTTCATGAGAAGCTACCGCAGTTTTGCAACGATATTGCATCGCATACACTGCAATGGGGACACCAACAATCCACCACGAGAACATAATGGGAAGTGCAAGATAGAGTCGGTTATTGCATCCACCGGACCAGATCTGTATCAGGACTTGGTATGCCTCGTGGGAGGGAAGAGCGTAGCCCCAGCGGAAGAAACCCGGATTTAGCTCAAATGGGCTGATGGTGCTGGCGACATTGAGAATGACCCATGTCAGAACAATGAACGGCATGAACTGAATTGGTATGAAAGCGGTCGTGATGTCGAAAAAGAGGAAGTTTATGTGCATCAGAAGCCACAGAGTGACCCAAGTCACCACAAACCGACTTCCTTGTTGTCCCCAGGACTCTCTGAAGGCCCAGATATAGCCGGTCATTAACAGTCCTCCCGTGAGGGTATAGAGGACGGAGGCTATCACGCGAATGAGGCCGTTGGCTTTCCAGGACATTTTGGTGAATGCGTCGAAATGAGTCGAGATGCCGTTTAGAGCCAACATGAAAAAGAATTGTTGGATGATGGGCATTACCATGGATACTGTGTTGTAGAAAACTCGTGTACCTTGTTCCGTGCCCTTGATGTTGATTTCTTCCACGTGGATCGGATCGAGGAACGCTTTGAGAGAGGCTGGATTAGAGAGGTTGGCTGAAGCGGCGACGGCAGATCCATTGTTGGCGTGGTATGTCGACCGTATGGTTTCAATCAGTTTCAAGATGTTGGAGTAGACCGCGGCCTGTGAGAAGACTGGATATCTCACCCCATTCCAGATGTAAGTGAGCGAGGTCGGTGGGCGGGACCCGTCTGCCAGGGCCGAAGCGAGACTAGCTGATCCACCCTCAGTGGTGTAAACAGCCCCCCAGTACTCACCCCGGCATACAGCTTCTCGAATATCCTCTGGTTGTGGATATTCATTAGCAGATTGCAGCAGCAAGCTTGGGAACCCATCTCCTCGTAATTGGTTGTAGGCATCTGACACCGACTTGCCGATGACACCACCGTCATAGTCAACATAAAGCACATTGAAATTGTGATACCGGGTGGTACTTCGGAACTGCGTTGCGTAAAGATAGCACATGTTCACCAAGAAAAGTACCTGAAGAAGGAGAAACATGGTGATCACAGCTGGTAAAAATCGAGGCCGAATCTCCTTCCATGCGCTCATTTTGGGATATGATTTTGATTCGGGTCTCATCTTGGGAGATGTAGCGTGAAGGAGATGAGGTAAAAACAAACGGTGACTGAGATTCCCTGAAGAGTGACATTTATAGGAATTCTCGGAAGCCGAACCCCGTATTGCTTACTGGCTGAGCATATTTATTCTTGGTCGCCCGGGTTGGTTGCACTGGTTTCACTATCCGAAGTATAAACTCGTACGGTAAATCCGTGAATACATCAGAATGTTCAGAGGTCAACCAATGGTCATACAGCCCTAGAGTCAATCCTCCGCTGATTCAGCGACATCCCAAGAAAAATGGATAGAACATTGGTCGCACATATATCGGAGAGAATTACAGAGGAACTATATATATAGCAGATTTTAGGGCGCGCGACTTACCCGATTGGGTTGCTGCTTTATGAGGGCACTTAGTAGCCGATGGGCAAAGCAAATAACAACCCTGAAATACTTCTGATTATGAATAAATTCGTTGTTTTGTTTTACCGTCCTGGTTGTCTCATCCCGGGTCTTATTGGCTCTTCTCAAAGATTCGTCTATTCTCGCACTCGAATTCACCGAACCTTGTCTGGGTTTCTCTCTAACTGATTGAACCGTGGAGTGCATTTTGTATACTAAAAAAACGTATAAAGAAAACGAGGTTGATGACGACTGGTACGGCTACTGGCGAAGGGGAGGAAGAGAAAGAAGAAACATTGTAGTTCAACCTAGCAAATAGCAGTGTCTTTATACCCTGCATCTGACAAACAAACTGCTCAGCCTGTAGGCAAACAATGGGAGATGAGATCATCCAACAACAACCTCGATTTTTCAAATGACGTCGTTTTGGAAAGAAAGTCATTATAAAACAACAGTTTCGGGTGTATCCTTAAAGAACAACTGTAGCTATAACCAACGGTTGATACACGGCTGATCAACCGTTTTCCAGAACCCCATTCCTCCGATAATGTATGTAATCAAATCACTCGCAAAGTATTCCCGTTGCATCATAGAAAAAACTGCCCAAATCTGTGGCGAGCAATTCCCATTTAATCGTCGCGCAATTTCATCTATCAATTTCATGACTCGGCCTTTCAGAAACCATTCTCCCTGAAGTGGCTGCAGAAGGATAGAATAGTAGGCCAGTAGCAGCAAAGCGCCCGGATTGTTAAGTTTCAATAGGGCCAGATACTCAGGCGAAACGTGCATTGGCCATGCATAGAGAACATCCCAGATAGTTGACGATGGCCCGCAAAGCTTAATAAACGTAAAGACCTGTGTCAATCTGACCGCTGAATCGCGGTATATATAGTAGTCAGTCGATTCAGATTCGTCATCTGGAATGACGGAGAGTAGTGAAATTAGTAGCGGGTCGTTAGGATTGGTAGTGACGGCGAGATAATCCCGCCAAAGTGCCGTAAAAGATGCCAATGGACTAGTGGTGAGTTTCGCCCAGACGGGGCAGAGCATCGAGCAGCCGTTACGGAGGATCTCGATCCACTCCAATACGTCTTCTCCTTGGTTATAACCATTGCTCAGAAACAATGACTGATCGTTAGACTCGGAGCCTAGAGCATAGACGACGAGGAAAAATGAAAAAGCTAGCACCGCCTGGCTGTTATTGCTATCCACATGCATAGTTGCCCATCGGAATGCAGGAGCCGCTTGATCTTCGTGTCGGATTGACTAAATCTTATAATGCGTTCGATTTGTAGGGTCGATAGAAGCAAGGTGGAGCGAAGCACAGGACAGGATGCCATGGAGCAAAAGGGAAACTGGGTGGCTAGCTGTGGGATAATGATTGAAAAAGCATCATCTGTCTCGGGGCCGCATGAGAAGGTTTTGTAGGTGTAGTTCCGATAATGGTCTAGTAGGCCTGCGTCGCTTGTGATCAACGTTTGATAAGGACTCAATTCTCGATTCTCGCTTGAAGTCGGGGTTGTTGCAGTCTGGAGGGATAATTAGTAAGGCCGATGATGGGTAATGGCCATCAATGTACTTACCGTGTTCGTCAACCCATCGGAAATGTTCGACGACGACGAAGTCAACAACGCCGGGTTAGTAAAGTAACGGAAAGCATTTCCCCGGAAAAATGTCTGTAACACATCCAGTGCTGCTTCATGCGCTTAGCAGTGATACAAAGATGAGCGCACCCCGCAAAGGAGCAGGCTAGCCCATTTTGAACAGGCAGTAAAGGCACTGGAAACTGGTTTTCATCGGGCAAGACAAGATTTTTGGGCTGGCTCAGTTCAAATCCAGAGGCATAGTCGACAAAGGCTCGACGGGATGAATGATGAAGATGATGGATTTCCTTGAGATGGCGAGGGACTGCACCAGGCTGAATCGCATAGCTGCAACGTAGGCAGATAATGTAATAGTTGGGATGGGGCGATCGTATCCACCGAGGTCGCATCCACTGTTGAAGCCATGATACTGATAACTGCTCACGACCGAAGACATTCATCAATCATGGTCATTTCAGGGGGCTATACTTAAGACTTGTCAGATTGTCACTGCCCGCACAATATGGGACCTAGGCAGGATTAGCAATTGTTAGTCAGCAACTGTGAAATGGATTGGGATCTTCATCAGGTGGAATATTTCTCAATTGCAACTATAGGAGACTACCTAGTGAGCATACCCAACAATGATGAATATGAACAACGCCAGAACGCGCTTCAAGCATGACCAAAAAGCAATAAACAAGAAACCAAAAAGGGAAGAAGAAAAATCTTCGCAAGCATCAATTAAATCTCCGACAACAGCTTGTCAATGTTCACCACCGGGCCCAACTCGGACAATGTCTCCTTCCAGACCTGGGCCTGCGTGATGATGCCAGAATCACTGTCTCCATATCCGGCAAATGGAGCCGGCTTGTTGTCACTCAGGTACTTGCCATTAGAAGGTTCACCGGCTAACACCGATGAATGAACGAGCGTACGGGCACCCATAGAGATAGAGCGACCGATGACTCTCTTCATGCCACCAAGGACCGTAGCAAAGGCGCCCTCCGCCGTACGATGCAACTCAGAGCCATAGCAGAAACCGGGGTTGACCAAGTTAAGGATGGCGCCCGTGGAGCGCTTAGCACTGGATCGGTTGCGGAACAGCTCGAGGAAGAAGAGCTGATAGAGCAGCTTAGAGGCATAGTATCGATCGCCCATGTCGAAGTGGCTCTTGTCATCCAATACGTCGATGAGTGAGATTTCCTGCTTGGTAGACACCTGGGCTTCGGCGAACTTGGCCCAGGCGGCTGTTTCACTACCGACAATAGAAATCACCGGGCGAGCGCGATTGAGGTTGTTGGCAGCTTGGCGATCGAGCTCGGGGAGCAATAGCAGAGTCAGGAGAGCGGTGCTCAGCCAATTGATTTGAATAGTTGTTTCGTGAGAGGTGGGTTGGTTGACGGTGAAGTTGAAGTTGGCAACACCGGCGTTGAGAAGAGCAAAGTCGATCTGGATCTCGGAGAGCCTGAGGCGGTCGACAAACACGATAATACTAGCGTAGCTGCCTAGATCCAACTCCCAGATCTCGATCACGGGGGGCTTAGCCGAAGCGGGGAGTGAAGCGAGAAGGGATTTCCGGGCAGCTTCGCCCTTGGAGATGCTACGGACGGCCAAAATCAGATAGGACAGTCCGAGACCGAGCAGCTGGGCTGAAGCTTGATAACCTAGTCCAGTATTAGAGCCCGTAACGATGCCCGCCTTGCCGCGAAGGGAGGTGGTGGACGGGGCCTTGGAAGGGCAGACCAGGAACTGGCGATAAAGGAAGCCTGGGTAAGAGTTGTAGAAAGGCATTTTGCAGGCTTGAGAGGGATGAGGATGGGAAGGAAACAAAAAAGCGTATCAATGTAGGGTATAAATACTTTTTTTCTGGCCTTCCTGTATACTTTGTTATACTAGTGGAAAATCGACGGTGCCGTTCCATGCTGTGATTGGCCAACTCGGACTTAACATGATCTCCGCAGAACGGATGGTGCCGTTCTCTTTTGAAGTTGAGAGCTAAAGGGGCGTAATAGGGTGACAGTCAGGCAGTATTGTCCTACCGGAATTAATTCATGGGTTTAAGGTAGATTGCAGGACGAGGTCTGACCTTATTTCCACCATCTTTTGGTTGATTTCAATATAACGGTTTTAAATTGCGGATGATAATCTCATTGAAACCTTGACTACGGGCGACTAAGTGTGCCACCTGGACACAACTATTTCATTGGACTATATTGCCATGCAGTAATTTAGTCCTCATTTTCTAGGGTTAGGAGTAAATAAAGTCTCCAGTCAAAATTGGATTAACTTGTTTAAAAAGACCATTAAAAAGATCAGTAAAAAGATCAGACAAGAAGTAGTATTCAGCCTACATAGTTCACTGTGCTAAACTAGTGTACTATATACTCTAGGCTGCCTTAGCACCCTTCCTGGGCTTCTCGGGCCTTGGCTTATTAGGTACTCCTTTTCTTACGAAGTATTATACAAATACAAATTGAATGGCATATATACTCTGAGAAGGCGGTGATAGCTTATGGTCAGGCAGGATCCAATAAGAGAGTTATGTCCAGGTGGCACACTTGAGCGCCCGTACCTTGACCTCATTTAGGGGGCCCATTAAGCGTTTGGCCACAGTGAAGAGAGAACCTGGAGAATTTGCCCCAGTATATAACTTCAAGCCATTCTATAGTTCATCTCTACCTCCTGTAGCATCATCGCCTTGCTTAGTGCGAGGCCATGTATAATAGAGCACAATAGCTTAAGCTCCAGTGGTTCTATTACCTCGTGTGTTAGTCGCTAGTACTTGTGCCTTATTAGAATGTAACTCAATGTGTCTTGCCTCCTCTGAATGCATCAATAAGTCACAATCTGTGGGCCCCTGGAGGGCCCCGATGTAGATAAGTGCTTCCTAAAATGATCGGGGGTGTAGTGCTGTGGGGAATCGCCGTCACAAATGATGTCCTCACTTGACTCTAGACGTTATCGGTTATGCAAGAGACTTGTCCATGACACGCTAATGCACTAGCGGGAATGACAAGGTAGTCTCGTAGCTGGTCAAATGGGGTGACTGACGTGTCTAGCACGGCACAGACGACGGATTATGCTAAGATCTACTTGGGCATGCACCTGGGTATGTACTTTATGGTTTAGAATCGTAGAAGCCAAATATTGACTTTACGTTACAAATCAAAGGCGCAACCTGTAGTCTGTAGTCTCTGAATGTTAATTTCTTTTCAATTTTGCTTCAGTGAAATATTGAATTGATGTTGAGGTGTTCAGCTCCACATTTTGATATTTAGTTCCCGGCCGGGCCGTGTGGAGACAAATGCAGAACTATAGTTCGCCCTGTTCGATTGCCGGTTCCGTCTAGAATTCAATTCACGCATTTTTTGTACATTGCTCGACGGTATAGACTTGTGATAACCTGAGTAGCAGATTCCCAAACTAAAATGTAGTTCTGCAACACCACATAATGCACATTATATGGAGAAAAAGGCGTGAAACTACATTGGCAGCGCTAATATTCCTTTCGTGGGGTTTGATTCTTGGCGAACCTGAATTCCAAGTTAGGATTAGCGTTCAAATGATCCTAATTCCAGTTAAGAATTCCAAGATGAGCCTCAAGTAGCGGGTACCTACATCCATCTCAATCCGAGCTAAGTGGGTCATGCATGGGGCAAGCCAAGATTAAGGGCGTAAACAAAGGCACAGACTAAAGATTCCAATATCTAGATCTACTTCGGATGTAGTTTTAAGGCCCGTGATAGAAAAACTGCTGTGATCATCAGATTCATATGTACGCGATATCATAGGCCGTCCCAAGAGAATATACTATATACCAAAAGCAGACAAAAAACATGTTTGCAAGTATAAGAGAAGATCAAAAATATAGAAAAACTTCAGACAAAAAAATCAAAGAGAAAGTAAACGCCCCGAATCCACAGGTATCATGAATAGAACAGAAAAGCTAAAAAGCCATTTCAAAACCCAAATCCCTTCCAAAAAGAATCACACCAAGCGCTACATAATCAGACGGCCAGCCGTCGGTCCCACCCATTGACCAGAGAAAACTCATCGACCTCATCTTCACCACGCATAGCAAAACCATGGAAAGGATCAATGGTATTGATATCCTCAGGACAGACTCGGACATCAGGATAAGGCGCCAGAGACTCCTCATTACTCCCCATACTCTCGCTCGAATAGCTCAGAACGCTCTGTGTGGTATGTTCTTGCTTATGTACGAAGTCGCCACTACTGGCGGACCACGCTTCGGGTGAGAGGCCGTGCATATCACTCTGCGGGTGATTGACAAGGGATGGGTCGTCGGGTTTGCGGCGGTATTCTGCTGCAATAGAGGCGAACGGGCCCGGGTCTTCGCCGCATTCTTTGCCGCCGTAAATGCCTGTGAATATGTTGGAATACCCGCGATCCATGTCGCTCAACACATATTCCCAGTCGGCCATTGTGATGGCGCCAGCTGTGGGGTCTGAGGGTGTAGAGCACGACATGGAGCGTTGATGGTCGTAGCCCAAGGATGCGGCTAGGCGGGGGTCTGAGGCTAGGTCCAGAGGGGAGTGACCTTTGTCGCTGAGGTAGTGTGGGGCGGGAAGGTGTTCGGGTTGAGAGAGGGGCAGGCTGCTCCAGCTAGGGGAGCGGAGCGACTGGTGCATAAGTGGGGGTGTGGTTCCGGAGATTGTGTTCCGTCGAGAGGACTGTGGAGAAGGTTGGCTTGGAGGCTGCTTATCACGGGTAGAGCAGGCGATAAGGCGAGACTTCAAGGCCTGCAAGTGGTTCTTGGGAGATTTGTTCGGCTTCTGTGTTGGTGCCACCATCTCCGGGCACTGCTGCTTGCCCATCGATGGGCGTCGTCCGTCGTCGAGAGAAACCAGACAGTTAGACAGCGTGCCGAATTCAGCAGCCGCCACGCTCGACTCTGACTGGAGGTACTGCATGGCGGTTCCAAGCAATTTCTGGCTTTCCTTGGCCAGTTTGCTATCGCTTTTCACATCAAGCATTTGCCATAGGAGTCCAAGCCCGGAAAAGAATATAAGCTCTTTCCTGTTAATACTAACAGACATACACAAACGCCTCTCATCGAGTAGTTCAAGAATCTGGATGATATGCTTTGCTGAATCGGACAGCGCCAGAACAGACGGAGAGCGAAGGTTCCCGTCAGCGTAGCAGACAGCTGGGCGATGTATCAAAGATCGAATGAAATAGTAGACAAGTGACTATATAGCAGTGTCAGCATTTTTCCTTTTTTATAAAACATCAATGAATTAATGCTGGGACTTACCAGGAGCGGGGACCGACTGCTCGTGACGTTTGTGCTAGGCTTGTCCTGACTGAATTCGAGACGAAGATGCGGCGGCAGCGTGTGAAGCCACTCGTCCAATTGCCCTGTCACCGAGCGCATCTTTGAAATATACACATCGTAACCAGATTTAGAAGGGAATAGATCCTCCAAAGCCCTGTTCAAGATCCTGGCAGCCCCGAAGAGCGCGATAGCACTGGATATGCGAGTGGATTCGCCAGGAAGGGTCGGCAAAAACCCTGTTTCTGTGACATTCTCATCGTCCACATCAACTGGATACTCAGCCTCAATATCCTCTTCGCGCAAAAGGACAGGCAGTCCAGTAAGCGCGGAGCAGAATCGGTCAAGCACATATTGCGACCAGAAAACCTTCTTACGAGTCTC